TTGTTTCCAATGGGTAATAGGGAGTGCTGGAAAAGGCTTATTTCCAACGGGTAAAGCTAGGCATTTGGAAAATGACTATTTAATATGGATAAAAAGAAATGCTTGGAAAATATCTCATTTGCTTACCCACATTGGAGAACTCTAAGTAATGGGCTTGGACTTTGGTGCTCCCAAGTAGCTAGTCCAAAGCCTCCATTATCCAAGAGCTTCCGTGGGCCTTGTGGATCTCCGTAACCTTCCATACCACAATCCCTCATGCAAGCCCCGTAAACCATAGTGATTGATATATGAAAAATGTATTATTGGCTTCGCATGGCATGGACACTATTATTTATTTAATGAATTAATTCCCAAAATACAGCTTAGATTAATGCATGACCAACATTATATTTTATATCGGGCCTTAAATGTCTTTGGGCTTCTCGTGACTTTTTTGGGCCTCAACATTAACCCCCTTGATTATTGGGGCCATGAAGTGGCAACGAGATGGGCCAAATAATCAATTTTAGCCCAAAATAATTAGCAATGGCATGGAATGGTTATGTACTCTTTTTCCCTTCGACCAGTTTTTGTCCCACTGGGTTTTACTGGCAAGGTTTTTAACGAGGCATATTTCATATCATTTGTGGTCTCCAAGGGGGAGTGTTGTAAAGTCAAGAATGTGGAGCCCAAAATGATAGGGTCCACTACTTAATTGATTGAAGAAAATTCTGAAGATACACTGCACATCCACGGGGAGCCAAGAGACCTTCACGAGTCTTCTATTTACCGAATAGTTAGCCAAAGCTTTGCATATAAAACTATGGCTTCATTCTCGTTTGTATTGTGAGAGAGATACAGAGAAAGAATCAATGAAAATATCAGAAGAATATTTCTATCACTATTTGAATTCTCTAAACTCTCTCCTCAATCTCTTTAGTTTTATAACAGGATTGAGTTTAAGATGAAGCAATGTTTTTAAATTTTGTACAGTAGCCCTTTTAACTGTTCTGACGGCGAGTCGTTGTTAGATCCAAATTTCTAATGGGCAATTCTCCTAAATAGTGTGACCAAAATTGATTTCAAAATGAAAACCTAGCTAGAACTTAGTTTTGAGCTTTTAGGATGTTTGTGTCATCCTCATCCGCAATGACGGACAACAGAAGGTACTAACCTGGGTTATAGCCCAGGCGATTTTTAATTTTATTCAGCCCAAAATACACATAGAAGCACAAAACTCAATTATATAGCACAAGACATCACCAAGTCAAAATATTTTTTTAAAAGCAAAACTCAATCATTCCACTTTCTAACCTAGTCTCTCTCTTCTACCAAACAACCCACTCAAGTTAAAATATATTTCTTTTAAAAAGCAAAACTCAATTATATCCTTTTCTAACCTAGTCCCTCTCTTCTGCCAAACAACCCACTCAAGTTAAAAAATATATATATATTCTCATTTTGATATCATGGATGCCAAAGCTCAAACCCCAATTCAATTCCTAGGTTAAACATGCATTGGGCTTATAAAAAAATTTAAAAAAATCTTAACACTCATAGATAATTAAGTTTTTTGTTAAGTTGAAGTGAATGTTTCACTCTTAGTCATAATTAGGTGTTTTTTATATATAAATAATTCACTAGTTGAGTTTTCTATATTTTTAGTAGGTTTGTATGTTAAGTAAATTTAGTCCACCCTATTTTGAAATTCCGGATCTGATGCTTGATATTTGGCTTGGATGCTTGGCATTTGCATGTACGCTTGATTTTGGGCTTGCATGGTATTGGCTTGTACGCTTGGATTTGGCTCGTATGCTTGGCATTGGCGTGTGCGCTTGGCATTGGCGTGTGTGTTTGGCATTGGCATGTATGTTTGGTATTGGCATTGGCATGTATGCTTGACATTGACATGTACGCTTGGCATTGGCATGTATGCTTGGCATTGGCATGTACGCTTGGCATTGGCATTGGTTTGTATGCTTAGTATTGGCTAAGGTGACATGGTTTAATATAGCTTTTGGGCTATTTAGCATGGTGAATGTGCTTGAGTGTTTGGGTTTTCGCATTTAGGAATAGGCTTTTTTCGTTCCGGCAGCTACAGATGGGCTTGGGCTGCCATAAAGAGTAAGTGGGTGGAGTTGCCCTTGTATCCAATATGAAGAGTTTTTAAGTTAATATTTTTGGGATGATGATTTTCCCACTTCTTTTTTGTCAACTTACACTCCAT